AAAAAATCAGAAGAGCTCACCTCTGAAGGCTGCATACTCTGGCAAGAATCTCTGGACGCCAGAGACTCCCTCTGCTTAAGGAGTTATCGGTGATGAAACATCACTTTTAGAAACGAGGAGGAGAGAAGGAGGAAGAGGCAATGGCTGATAGGTATTGGTGTCATATGTGATCATCGAGAATGTGTTTCTTTGCTGTTTCTGAGCTCAAGCCGTCCACCATTCATAGTTTCTCGCCTCCTCCGCTTCTGGGACTCGCTTAACGTGAAGAAAAGTGGTGAATTTATGGGAATCAGCCTCCTCTTCCTTGATGAGAATGTATCGTACTATTTACTCTCTCGCAAATCATACAGTACAAATCTGTTTCATGAATCCTTAAAATAATGGCAGATTTTATTGTTCGCTCTTCATTTGCAGAATTCCGTGATCCATGGATTCATCTTAGTTGCTCTCGCAGATTTGACCAAGCTCTTGCAAACACATACTTAAAATTACTTGGTAAAGCATTCTAAAACATTTCCTTGCAGTATTACTACTCTTCAGCCAGTGTTTTATATTTGGTTTCATACTGTTATATTAAACATAATGTTGCAGATGTTGATAGCCAAATTTGGTCCGTAAAAGGGACTGACTTAACAACGCTACAGAAACGACTTGCCTTCTCGCCTTCTCCTCCGTTTCCTCATTGACACGTGAGCCATCAACTGATCTATAAAAATATATATTGCATTTCTCCATTTTAACCTTACTTAAAATAGCTTTTGTATTCTCAAATACCAGTTCAGTGTTCATGTTGTCGTTATGGGACCTCTGCAGCAACGTTTAGGAGTCTTCTAAACTCAGGGGATAAGACCCAGTATGTCATGGTGGTTACTGCTGTCAATTCACTAATATTTGGAGGTTGGTCTTCTGTTTTAAAGCATTTTAACATCTTTTATCTTATCATAATCTCAAGAATTTTTTTGGTATTGTGTGTATTAGACTGAAGATAATGCAGCTCTACATCTTTCAATCTTCAAATCCCTCATCATCCAGTCTATGAGAATGGACAAAGGATTGAAGACTAATATTCCATTCATCATTGCAGATCATCGCAGATTTAGAACATCGTATCTATATTTTTGGGATGAAGAACACAACACCTTCCAAAAGGTGTGTGAAGAAGAGAACTATGGTCACCACAGAGCCTCCAAAGAACATATCTAGAGTTGTGTATCCTCCAGTGGATTAGCTTATACATAAGCTCCAAAGCGAAGTTCATGTAGTTTGAAGAATGGAACTTTATGTCTTCATCTCAATCTGCTACACATAATCTTTTTTCTTTTTAGCTACGTTGTTGTTTCATGTAAATGCAACACGTGGAACTAAATAAATAAATCCACTGTGAATTATTTTACCTAAAGCATCTTCTGTTTATGACACACATGTCTGATTGTCCTTTCCATAAGCCAGAGAAGTCTATATTTCATATCATAATTAAAAATAAATAATTATGTAACTATATAATTTTATAAATTTATTACTTAAAAAAAACATTTTAATACAATTCGATTGTTTTTAATTAATTTCAGGTAGAATAAGGTAAGTAATCTATTTTGCTCATTTTTATATATGTGCTCATTTTACTATCCAACCTATGCTCATTTTAATCAAAAATTTATATAAATTCCAAACAAAATTTTAAAAAAACTTTGAAATAAAAATAAATCTGAAAATCTTCATATTTAATTTCATGTTTAGGAATAAAATAACTAAGTTGTGGATAATACATTCAAAAAAATTATTTAAATAAATATATTAATTAATTTAAAACTTCAGAAAGAAACTAAATTTTAAATGTAAACTACAAATAATAATATAGTTTTAAATATTATCCACAGTTTAGAAACTTTATTCCTATAGCTTAAAATAAAAATAGAAATTTTAAAATTTATTGTGATCAATTTTGAGGTTTTTTTAAATTTTCATTCGAACTTATAAATAGTTGATATTAAAATGAGTGCAGTTTTAAAATTAAGTGTATTAAAATAAATAAATAATTTATTTATGTATAAAATTGGATAGTAAAAAATTTTAGGTATTAAAATTCTTAATGATATTTAGTTGATGTATTTTCATAGATTTTGTTTAATAATAAATTAATTAAAGTATATATCTTATTAAATTAAATATAAACTTAAACAATTCAATGGACATAATAATACAAAAATACTTTGACAGAAATAAAATATTAAAATACATAATTCGCGCGTAGCGCAGAGAAAGGATCTAGTAGAATATAATCGGATTATAATCGGATTGTTAAAAGAGTTAAATAGTGTCTGCAACAGTGTTATGGTAGTTTTCTAATTATTGTGTGATTCATGTATACACAGCCTAATTTATCATTTAACAATGTGTCTTTTTGTGTTGTTTTTTTTGTTTTAAAGTAAATTACTAAGATGTTTCTATATGTAACTTTCTCGTAAATTTTATATTTTACTTCAGCTTAATGGTCGATATTGTTTTGTCTTGTTTTATTAATTAATCAACTATAAGAGTAATAATAAAACTGAAATATCAAATAAATGGACTAAAGTATGAAATAATTTAAACATGCAACAAAAAAATTTTAATTTTAAAATAAACATCATTAGCAAATAAATTATGCTAATATGAATATTGCAAATTTCTTAAAAATAAAATAAATGTTCCAGTAAAACTAGAAAATGAATTAAGAGAGAAGTATTAATCCCCTATATATTAAAGGAGAAACATTATAACATTTTTTTGTAGCCACGTGTCATCACCACAATCATTCTTAAAATCCTTTTAAAAATATGTTGGTCTATCTAGATATATAATAAGCTTTTGATTAAACTAATCATAAATGACTTATTAATGTTTTTCATTGTTTCCTTAAATAAAAATCACAGAATTGTCAAATATGGTTAAATAATATATGACAATTAATGATTTTCAATAATAAATATATTCTAAAACTATATAATAAAATTTTATATTTTTTCGTATATCCTATACTTTTAATTTTTTAAAACGACTATAAATGACTAAAGTTGTTAAAAAAATCTCAGATTAAAATTTTTGTGATCCATGGTTAAATTTTTTTATAACAAAATAGAAATGATTACAAAAATATATGAGTAAGAAGTCTCATTTAATAGAAATAAATATATATATTCTTCAAAATAAATTATGCACCGTATAAAAATATATATGTATTTTAATTTCTAATTTGCTTTGATTTTTTTTTTTGAGAAAAAATTTGAACAAATATTGACAACTTAATATTTAGTTTTAAACTTTGCATAATGCTTTAAAATTATAAATTACTAAAAAATGTTAAACTTCCCACACAAAAAATTGTTATCAAGGATTTAAATTTTTTGTTATAAGATAATAAGATGAACAAAAAAATAATATGAGTATAAACTATAATTTAACCGATATCAATATTGAAAATATATTATATTTCTACGATAATATCATTTAAACTTAATTGTATATCATATAAAATAGAAAAAATATGTTTAAATTAATAAAAAAAATATTTATTTGTTTACACCAATTTAATTATATAAGTAATAGTTACTGAATTTTTTATTATCAAAATATATTTATTATTTTGTAATATGTAAAAAACATAGAATACATAAAAGTAATGTATATAAAATATTCATTCGCGCAAAGCGCGGATCCTAACCTAGTATTATATAATCTAAATACACAGTATTGATATTTATTTGAATCAACTCTTACAAATTTGTTATTAGGGGACTGTTTTTATTGTTTAGTGGATGGGAAACCATGAATCTGATAAATTTAATTGGGTCTTTGTACTTGAAGATTGAGCTGTATGTAAACAGACTCTCCTCCCACAACCACCAACAAGATTACAAGAATATTAGATAATGACATCAATAAGGTCCGTATTATTTGAGATGGAAGCATAAGATTTGGTCTGTCAGAAATATGGAAAACGTTTTACATTCGAACGAAAAGATGTCATGAATTGGTCTTTCACGAGCCACGTCTTTTTACTACAGCCTGTTCGCTGTAAATGGGGGACCAAGGAGATGTTGAAATCTGAAACAATATTCATATGTTGTTTCCTTCGTATTTATTTTAAATGGGTTATAGTTACAAAAATCTTCCAACCAAATATGGATGGAAGATAATAAAACCTCTTACTTATCTTCTAAACTTAAAATCCGTTAATGTCAGTTCCCCTCAGCTAAACTGTCATCAAATATGGATGGAAACCAATCAAGTACTGTATCAACTAAAAATTAAAATAAACAAATTATATGTTTAATAATAAAGCCTATCAACTAAAAATGAATTGAAGAAAACCCTAAATTTTCTTTTTAATAATAAATTCTCAACTTTAATCTCATTAATATCAACCCATTCTGTAGTATCGTCAAATGTAGACAAACAATTCAGTGAAAATGTTATGTTTTGATAAAAAGAAGAATTACATAATGTTTAACTTTGGTATAACGTCAAGTTGACAAATCCAGAAACCCCCAATCAAAATCAGGGTTTTTCATTTCGGTGGTAAAGCAACTTAATTTTTTTAAATCTTTTTATTGTATTTTGTTGAGCAATGTTGTGTATGGGTCTTAGACGACTTTAGAGGATTTATCTTTTGGTACATTTGCAAAAGACTCTTTCCATATAGCAGTAGGCTAAGACCACCCAAAATTTTTAGAGCATATTTGAACATATATTCACTGACTTAAAATCAGTAACACCAAAATAACAAAACTAACCACATATTGCTGATAAAAAAAAACACATGTTGAAAGTTTGGAGAGAGGGGCCTCTGACTTTGAGCCTTAGCTCACTGCTTGCCTCTCTTTGTGTTAACGTGTAGCTACTTATCTCCCTTATTTAATTCATTTCCTCATCTTCACAAATCAAATTTCTCCTCTTCTTCTCCCATTCTTAACTTTCCTCAGCAACCAAATTAAGCACAAGTGCCTCATCAAGAAGATCCAATGGCTGATCATACCAATACGACCACTCCCTTGCTGGATGATCATGATGTCGGAGGAAGGAGAAGCTCATCTTGGGTTCAAAAAGTGATAGACGTGGAAGAATCAAAGGCTCAAATTATTTATGCTCTTCCAATGATATTCACAAATCTTTTCATCTATTGCATCCCTTTAACATCTGTGATGTTTGCTTCTCACCTCGGCCAACTCGAGCTCGCTGGTGCAACCCTCGCCAATTCTTGGGCCACCGTGACCGGGTTCGCCTTCATGGTACCATTCTCCTCTATGCCTCAAGCATTTATATCCACCATTTATAAGCTGCATAAATTACTTAAACGATTAAACTCACATATTTCATCTCATTGGTTTTGGGAACCAACAAGTCCTCTTTCTAATAGTTGCGTGTAGATCTTGACCCAATCATAAGGGACGTAATTAATCAATTTTCATGTATTTAAGGCGTCTCTAACGAAGTATGGACACGTTTTTGTCTGAATTTTCTTCTTGACATATCTTCAAGAATACATAGTTGGCTCATTAATGATATATATTTAATAATTGGCTCATTAATGATATACAATTAATATTTGGCTCATTAATGATATATGCTTGTTTAAGCATGTGACTATATATACTTAATACTCCTTAGTCCTTACTAACATAGAGTAATGTCCTTTAATTTTTCTTTTAAGACAGGGTTAAGTGGAGCACTTGAGACATTATGTGGTCAAGGCTTTGGTGCAAAAACCTACAGAATGTTGGGGATCCATCTACAATCATCTTGCATCGTCTCGTTAGTCTTCACCATCCTCATATCTATCTTCTGGTTCTTCACAGAACCGGTTTTCGGACTTATCGGACAAGATCCCAACATCTCAAGACAAGCTGCACTCTATATGAAATACCAAACTCCCGGTTTACTCGCTTACGGATTCTTACAAAGCATTCTGAGATTTTGCCAAACACAATCCATCGTTACTCCGCTAGTCATCTTCTCATTTGTTCCCCTGGTGATCAATATTGGTGTTGCATATGTTCTGGTCTATGTAGTTGGCCTTGGCTTCATTGGTGCTCCAATAGCTACATCTATATCATTGTGGATAGCTTTCCTTTCTCTTGGAACTTATGTTATATGTTCTGACAAGTTTAAAGAAACATGGACCGGGTTTTCATTAGAATCATTCCGTTATATAGTAATAAACTTGACGTTGAGCCTCCCTTCTGCTGCTATGGTATGGTAAGTCAGATCTGTAACCATTTCTAACTACTTAATTTCATATGATATGCTTGTTGAAGCTTAAGAGTGGACTATGTTTTTGCAATAGTTTGGAATATTGGGCGTTCGAGATACTTGTGTTCTTGGCAGGATTGATGCCTAACCCGGAAATCACCACCTCTTTGGTAGCTATATGGTAAGCTTTATACCACTATTTAGTTAATTATTGTTCTATTTACTATCAACAAGAATAGCTTATTGTTACATTTATAATTAAATTCAGCGTCAACACGGAGTCGATTAGCTATATGTTAACATATGGACTTAGCGCTGCTGCAAGGTCAGCCATCTCACCAATCATTTCAAAACTATGTATTTTCCTCTTATTACAATATTAATTTTTGAACGAGTAATATTAAAAATGTTCTGTTACAAAAAAAAATATATTAAAAATGTAATTTAACAACCCTTGTAGTACGCGTGTGTCCAACGAACTTGGAGCTGGAAATGTAGAAGGCGCAAAGAAGGCCACTTCTGTAACCGTTAAGTTGTCTTTTGTTCTTGCGCTTGGCGTAGTGCTTGCTTTACTTGTAGGTCACGATGGCTGGGTCGGGTTATTCAGCAATAGTCGTGTCATCAAAGAAGAGTTTGCACCATTGACATTCTTTCTTGCTGCATCTATAACACTTGATTCAATCCAAGGTGTTCTATCAGGTAAAAGATCTTTTTTTTTTTTTTTTTTAGAATAGTACCAAACATAGAAAAACTCATTTTCTTATCGACAGGAGTGGCCAGAGGATGCGGTTGGCAGCACGTAGTCACGCTTATAAATTTGGGAACATTCTACATAATTGGAATGCCTATTGCAGTCTTCTGTGGTTTCAAGTTAGAGTTGTATGCCAAGGTAGTACTCTTTTATGAAATTAATAAATAAAGCAAACATTTATGTTTTTAATATATTTATGATGTTAAGTGTTTGATTCATTGTTTTGGTGAACACAGGGTTTGTGGATTGGTATGATAAGTGGGATATTTTGCCAATGTTCATCACTCATGCTTATGACAGTTTTCCGGAAGTGGACAAAGCTAAATGCTTCGGTCTGAAGATCATATGTCATTGTGGACGAGATTATTATTATTATTATTATTGTGTTTTTGTGGACTTTTAGTAATAAAACCCATAAGAAAACGTCTCAAGTATTTTTTTCAATGAGTAAACCCTTCGATGGACACAAGCCGAGTACTCGGTATTTTTGGTATATTTAGTATTCGGTTACGAGTGGTAATTTTTTTACTTATACTTGGTTTACTAGTACCTGCAATTTCAAGTATTTGCAAAAGATTATCGGACTCGCAAGTTATTTTTTTTAATTATTGTAAATTACTTACAATTTAACTGATAATTATTGATAAATTATTTGATGATTCATTAGAACTTAAAGGTAAATTATTTGATGTTTTTTTTTGTATTTTAGTCAATTCGAGAAATAGATAGACGATTATATAAATTTAAAACTTATGTTTAATGTACTAATGAAAATGAAAATATAAACAAGTTATTTTATTATGATTTAGGAAAATGTATCTTAGTTCATTAACAAGCAAAAGAATACCAAATAATTAATTTTATTTTAATATCGGATATTTTTTTTATACTTACAAGTAATTTAAATAGATTACTTGATATTTATTTCGGTGAATAAATACTCATCTTTAAAGATCATGTACCTATGAAAGAACAAATAAAAAGCTAGGAACGAAAAATTATATGGTCTCTCGTAAAATATAATTATAAATTTTAATTAACTAATAAAATGGATATCAAGTATTTAATAAACCAAATAATATATAACAAATAATGCGACAAATAGAGGATAACAAGTAACAAACCAAGTAGTTAAAAATAAAAAATGAATTTGATACTTGACTTATATTTCCTAGTAATAAAATCCGTTTACTTGTTACCCAACTTAATTGTAACAAGTACTTGTTTTTTTAAACCAAATCGAGTCAAATAGTAAATACAACCCGAGTATCAAGCATTTGTGCCAACGTTACACTCAACTTATATTCCTTTAGTGTCAAGCTTGACTCAGACGACGCTGAACAACAATATATAGCTGCCACTCACGCTGACCCATATGACTCACGGGTACCAACTACAAAGCATCGGCCCAGATTGTGGATTCTACCGTTACACAGTCACATGCATGAATCGTCGTCCTCACATGATTTTATTTTATTTTGGATAAATTCTATAATATTTCTTTAGTAACATAAAGTTTTTCTTTTACTGCTACAACACATTTTATCCAATCATGTTTTATTTTAAAAAGTACATCCGATTATTTATAGCTTCAATTATCGTAATTACAGCAAAATATCTCCAAAAAAATACTTTGGTAAATGTATAGCTAAAAATTTTACAGGGCAATGGTTTATCTTGTAAGTTTATCTAAGCAATACACTTACAAATTTTACAGCTAAATTTGTACAGTAAAATGCCCACCCAATCATCACCAAAATTCTTTTTTTTTAATAAAGGGCTCATTCATCCCCAATATTTATAAAATTGTGTTTAATTTATCGGATATGGTTAAGTTGACTACTTGAGACATTATGTGAACAAGGCAAGGGTTTATCTTGCATTGCCTCATCTCACAAACTTAACACAACATCACAAACAAACAAAACAATAAATTTTGCTGCTACTTACCTTCCCTATTTAACTCTCGTTCACGTTCACATATAATATATCTCTTATTCTCTTCTTCCCATTCTCAAGTTTCCCCACCCACTAATTAATTAAGCAAAAATGCTTCATCAAGAAGATTCAGTGACGGCTTATCCCATCACGAAGAGACCCCAACTTTTGGATGATCGTGAAGATGGAGGAGAAAGGATAAGATCATCTTGGTTTCAAAAAGTGATCGATGTGGAAGAATCAAAGGCTCAAATCATATACGCTCTTCCTATGATATTCACAAATCTCTTCATCTATTGCATCCCTTTAACCTCTGTGATGTTTGCTTCTCACCTCGGCCAACTTGAGCTCGCCGGTGCAACCCTCGCCAATTCGTGGGCCACTGTCACGGGTGTTACCTTCATGGTACCTACCGTTCCTCTCTATGCTTCAATCATTTCATATATGTGCAACATTTTCTATTTATATTTTACCAATAAAACATTTTATATTTATTACTAGCAGTATAAATACTTAAAAGCCACTTAATAATATGTTTTGGACTACCACATTTTATTAGTTTATAAAGTTATTAATTGAAATATATTTTAATTAATTTTAGATTATAAAATATTTATGTTATTTAAAAATATATTAATTTTATATATTTAAATGTATGTATTATATATTAAATTTTTCTCTTTATATTATTTGTATGTTTCACGTACGTAATATATATTAATTAAAATAATTAATTTTTCTTTATTATATTATTTAATATATTTTTTATGTATCGTGATTAGACATCATAGAATATATATATATATATATATATATATATATATATATATATATATTAACTTGACATCATAGAATATAAATGCATCTTTGAATTTGATTTGTAAATAACAAGAAAATATTAAAATAAAAGGTAACTTAAAGATAGATGTTATTTTGAAAAAAATAAATAATTCTATGCAAACTTAATATAAGTTTTACATAGTAATTATTAATTTATGGTTTTTAATAGAACTATCTTATTTTTTACTTTAAAAATATATTAGTTTATTAAAGTAAGTCATTTTAACATTATGTCATATTTTATAATAGTTTAATTTGGATTGAAGAAAAATACTGTTTAATCCTGTTTATTCTTCTCAACGATTTGCTTTCTTCTCAATGATTTGCTCAAATTCATATCTTCATATTTGGTTTTTGGAACCAACAAAGTTTTTTAATAAACTTGACCAGTTTTCTTGTTATTTAAAGCGTCGACTACAACGAACTTGTGGATCGAGTTTCGTCTGAATTCTTTTTAACATATATCTTCGAGAACATTTGGCTCATTAGTGATGATAATGCACTCAAGGACATGCTTCTGGTATGGTAAAAATGCATTTGTCTTAGGCGGCCCCAAAACATAATGAAAGCTAATAATTACAAAAATTATGTTCGTATAGTGCATGGTTAGAGTGTTCTTTAAGTTGCATCTCCACCTAAGTTCAAACTTCAATTTTCTTTTTGAAGTAACTCATTTTTTTAATTTGTTTTATTATGTTTCAGCTAAAATTCTAATAACTTTAATTTTCTTATACAAAATATCCAATATACTCTGATTCTCACTGACCCGCTATTTTGTTCTTCATTTTCCATGTCACGAACTTAAATTACCTTTTGTTTTGTTTTTCGTTAATGAGTATCTGGTGAAAATAATATAAGTACTTTGTTCAAATTGTTTATTACCCTCTCCCTCTGTTCCTAAAAGATCTATATTCTAGTTTTTTCACACTTTTTAATAAAACACAATAAATTTACATAGTTTTTTGTATATTTATTTTTTTTCCATAATATTAAACTAATAGAAAATCAATAAGTGCAATTAAGTTTTTTGAAGTTTACAATTAGCTAATAAAACATGTATTGAAAATGTAAAAAATGTATCTTTTAGAAATAATTTTTTTTTCTAGAATATGTATTTTAAGGAACGGAGGGAGTATGTTTTAGTAATAACCCTATTGATTCTAATTTTTTTTAAGAACAGGTAATGTGTTGTCACAATTATCTTTCATTTAATGTCAAAAATTCAGTTTTTCTTGCCATGATTTAGATTAACTTTTAAATTTTATTAAGAAGATAGTGAAAGAATTCGTAAAATAACATTTTTTGAATATATTTTTTTAAATAGTTGTTCTAAACATAATTAGTGACACTATAAGGTAGATTATAATAAATATCGTCAACATCTATAAAATGATCTCATTTTAACTCAGGTCTCAAACTTTTAAAATTCGTCATGTTACTGATTATAATTAATACTCCCACCATTAATAGATGACGCTTTAGAAAAAAAAAATATGTTTCAAATTAAATGACGTTATAATTTTTTAATGTCAAATTTATTGATTTTAAAGTTTAGGTAACTTTATATTCTCCAGTTTGTTTCTTAATTAATTGAATTGCGATTAATTAGATTTTATAATGTTTTTTGCTAAGAAAATGTACAAAACTAAATCTTTTGTTAATTGTATACAATCCGAAAATGCCGAATAATAAAAAAAAACAGAAGGAGTTGTTAATAACATAGAGATTAATGTCATTTAAATCTTCAGGTTGGGTTAAGTGGAGCACTTGAGACATTATGTGGACAAGCATTTGGTGCAAAAAACTACAGAATGTTGGGGCTTCATCTACAATCATCTTGCATTGTCTCATTAGTCTTCACTATATTCATCTCCATCTTCTGGATCTTCACAGAATCGGTTCTCCGACTTGTCGGACAAGATCCTAACATCTCCAAGCAAGCTGCCCTCTATATGAAGTACCAAGCTCCCGGTTTACTTGCTTACGGATTTTTACAAAACATTACCAGATTTTGCCAAACACAATCCATCGTTACTCCTTTAGTCATCTTCTCAATTATTCCCTTGGTGATTAATATTGGTACTGCATATGTTCTGGTCTATGTATCTGCCCTTGGATTCATTGGTGCTTCAATAGCTACGTCTATGTCAATGTGGGTAGCTTTTCTTTCTCTTGGAACTTATGTGATCTGTTCAGACAAGTTTAAGGAAACATGGACCGGATTTTCATTAGAATCATTCGGTTATATAGTGATAAACTTGACGTTGAGCCTCCCTTCTGTTGCTATGGTATGGTACGTCAGATCATAACCATTATCAGGTATATATATGACTTCGTATGTTTCTGAAGTTTAATAGAAGACTATGCTATTGAAACAGTTTGGAATATTGGGCGTTCGAGATTCTTGTGGTCTTGGCAGGATTGATGCCTAATCCAGAAATCGCCACATCTTTGGTAGCTATATGGTAAAGCTTTCTATCACTATTAAGTTAATTAGTGTTTTATTTCATAACAACAACAAAAAAGGCTCATTGTTGTGTAATGTTAAATAAAATTCAGTGTCAACACGGAATTGATTAGCTACATGCTAATATGTGGCCTTAGCGCAGCTGCTAGGTCAGTCATCTCATCAATCGTTTCAAAACTCTGTAAATCTCCTCTTTTTATAAAACATTATAAAAACTGAAAATGTAACAAAAAAATGTTGCAGTACGCGTGTGTCAAACGAGCTTGGAGCAGGAAATGTAAGAACCGCAAAGAAGGCCACTTCTGTAACCGTGAAGTTGTCTTTAGTTCTTGCTCTCGGCCTAGTGGTTGCATTACTTGTAGGTCACGATGGTTGGGTTGGGTTATTCAGCAGTAGTCATGTGATCAAAGAAGAGTATGCATCATTGACATTCTTTCTTGCTGCCACTATAACTCTTGATTCAATCCAAAGTGTTCTATCAGGTAAAAGATCCTTCTTGTTTCTAATTACCAAACAGAGATAAACTTATTTTTCTATCTATATATCATATCGACAGGAGTGGCCAGAGGATGCGGATGGCAGCGTGTAGTCACTCTTATAAATTTGGGTGCGTACTACTTAATTGGAATGCCTATCGCAGCTTTTTGTGGTTTTAAGTTGAAGTTGTATGCCAAGGTATTCTTATGAAATTGGTAATAAAGAAAAAAAATATGTTTTTATTTTTGATTTATTGTTGTGGTGAAAACAGGGTTTGTGGATTGGTATGATATGTGGGATATTTTGCCAATGTTCATCACTCATGCTTATGACAATTTTCCGGAAGTGGACAAAGCTGGATGCTTCGGTCTGAAGACTATGTCATTGTGGACAAGATTAATAATTTTTCTCCATATGTTTCAAAACAATAGACTTTTAAGATTTTTGCACACTAATTAAAAAATTACGAACTTTTATTTAAAATATTCAGTTTATACAAAAACAACAATAACTACCTGTAGTTCAACTAATAAAAAATCATACTGCAAAACACAAATGGTTATAAACATAAAATTACATTACTATTTGCATAGGATCTTGACACTTCAACTTAAACAAAAAAAAATCATAAAACATCACTTAAACTGAATTAGAGAGAGTGTTTTTTTTTCTGGAAGGTTCTGTTTTTTTAAATGTCTCTTAGTTTCTTGTGATGCAAGAGAGAAATCTGGTCCTCAAACTGGGACCGCGGTCTAAATAATCCAGCATCACCAGAAACTTATAAACTCAAAAATACTTTGGACTGATCATCACACACACATACGACATATGGTTATATATTACGGGGTTGAGTGACATTTTACGGTTTGACTGGTAAGATTTTGTTTTAAAAGAAAAAAATACTGAGTGTTTATTTTGCTCACTAAGAACATCTCCAAAAAAAAAACTATATTTTGAAGTTTCACAAATTCTATATTTGAAGTTTCAAAGTGTTTTTCTTCAAAAGAAAAACTTTAAAAATATTTATATATTACATTATAGTTTTTATATTTGTCACAATTAATAAAAGTTCATAAAAACTTGGATAAATAACTAACACATATATAAAAGTATTACAGCAATAGTAATAAATAAAAATTTACACTAAAATATGTAACTAGAAATATAAATATTAAACTACAAGAAAAATATTACATAATTCCATAAAATTATCTTCGACATCACAATCTCCGAAATGCCTTCATTTTCAATCAATTTAAGTAGTGATAATGGCGGATCAAGTTCACGTCCTATTAGATCGAAGAAATTAAAACTCAAAAGGAAAACTACCAAAGGAAATAATATGGCGGTTGATAACGAACAAATCCTTGATTTTTTAAAAAGTGCAATAAGCAGGGATAAAAATCATGAGATAATTGAATTACGAATGAAAAATGAAGCAAAATATTTAGTTTTAAAATAAGTAAAAGACGAAAATAAAATATTGCTAAAAACTTAGCTTCTATCGGTGATATTAATATTTGTGAATACATTCGTTCTGAATAAGAAAGAATCATACGAAAAAAATGACAAGAACAACAAGAACAACCATCTTCGGTTACAAAAAACTTGTTTGGATTTGAAAATTTTGGAGTTTCCGGAGAAGATTTATCAGATTATTAGTGTTGTTGTAATATTTAAATTTCTGTAATAATTATTTTTCATGTACTTTTTTAAAAAATAATGTTAATTAAGTTTGTTTTGTAATATTCTTGTTGTCTAATTCTACTTTTAAAGTAAATAAATCTTATTTTAATTCTTTTATTTAATTTTATGTGTAAAGATTAATTTATAGAAATAAATTTGAAGATTTGTGAGATATAATTTTTTTAAAGATTAAAATGATAAATAAGAAAGTACTTAAAAATCATAAAATAAGATATGTAAATATAAGGACTAAATTGCAAATAAAAAGATGAAACATCAAATTTAGAGTTTTGAGAAGTGAAACTTCAAAGTTTCACTCCCTAAAACTTCAAATTTGAAGTTTCTTTTTGGAAAATAAAAAACTCTATATTTGAAGTTATAGAAAGTCTTTTGGAGATGCTCAAATGGTGATTGATATACATGTCGATATACATTTATATATATATATATATATTATACTTTTATAAAAAAAAAGGATTAGTGGACAAGGTTAAGTGGAGCACTTGAGACATTTTGAGGACGGCCTTTGATGCAAAAAGAGCTACTGAAGTAGTGGATTTATCTACAATCATTTTGCATCACCTAATTAGGTATTAAAGGACCAACTTATTGATTCCATTAAGCTTACTTTATAGTCCCTTGTAATTTCTTTTAGAAAAATTAAACATAAATAGAAATAATAAGCACGGTACAAGTTGATAGGTGGAACGCACCAAAAACTAGAAAAAAGCCAAATTAGTATGTTTTCTTTGCTGTTCAAATGAATTCTTTAAAAAATATTCTTTTGGGTAACTACTACACAAGCTTTAAAGATATTGACTATATAACTTTCAGTAATAAAACACTGAATTTCATATTATATTCACAACATATGCATATTCAGTAAAAAAAATTAATGTACAAGTGTAATGAGATTTTTGGTTAACTATAAATTATTAAGTAAAATAGTTTTGTATAAATTTATTTACTAGATCTTTACATATTAACTACTTTGGTTAATTTTACTTTTCTATAATATATAATTTTAACTACATATCAATACTACTTAAAATACACCATTTTGATAGATTTAAAGATTTTTATTTTAAAATATATTATGTTTAATCAAAACAAATCTATATATAAGAGTGTTAGAAAACATAACAAATCGCTCAAAATTGTTTTGTTAAAAATTAATTGTATCTATTTCAAGCCATATATTATAAATAATTTTTATAATTCATATAAAAAGCATTGTACATGTTTTATAATTTTATGATTTATAAATTAGTATAAGCTTAAAACTACGTGTATTTAACATAAAAGCATTTTCAAACAAAAACTGCAAATATTTTTGATCTATCTTTAAATTTACACAAAAATAATTTAAAAAGATTTATAAATAAAATTTAAAATAAATGTATTATATGTATTAGTTACACTATTCAGACTTTGTTTTGGACCGGTTATTTTTCGATGAATCACAACTGTTTCGTATCATGCGTTTCTTTTATTCAAATCACAAATAAACCATACCGATTCAGTATGTTTGTCCCGCACAGAGCATCCATTAGCACTGACTTCAATTTAACTTTAAATTAGTGCCCCGCCACATGCTTTGAGTTGCTATTAACTAATAACGTTTGTGTTGCCACTTACCTTCCTTATTTGTAATTCGATATTGATGGACCAACATAGACACAAAACTGAATCATTGCATGTTTGCAACAAGAGTAAGATGATGGAGTAGACTTGAGCAAATACATGGAATGAACAAAGGGCAGACCCAAGAACACAAAGATTTAAATGAAATCATAACCAAAGGCAAACAATGTTAACCTATCATGACAAATCTTTGAAAAAGAAACCAACTATTCTTTTGGACATATATGCAACTGCATCAATTTCACACAGTTTAAAAATCAAACTTAATAAACGGAATTATTTGCTGTTTTTGAAGAAGTTGAAATCCCATTTACTACTACTACTACTACGTTCAACTGTCACCGTGGGCTTTGCAACCGCCGCTGACATGTCACCGGTCTCGCTTACCTTCTCGCTCGAAGAGCCAGGCACATCTAGAGAAGCCGGCGTCTCACTTGGTGCATTGGACTCTGATTGGTTCGCTTGAGTTGAAGTTGATACTTCTCTAGAAAGGAGAGACTGTTGTGCAGTTTGAAAAGCATTGTTGCCATGAACTCTCTTCTCCGGAGTTTCTTTATTCTCAAGACTTTGCACTTCCAAGTCCTTCAATGATGCCATCACTGCTCTCATAAGCATCTGAAAACAAGTGATAAGATTATTATATTGAATGAGACATATTGAATGTGTGCTTTTTGATCTTACCCTTTCTTCTTCCTCTGCATTGGATGGGATGTCCTCCACGTGATATTCAACATCTTGATCGCCGTTTGACATATCAAAGCTTATCATATCCGGAGATGAACTGCCATCATGATTCTCTTTTTCCTGAAACGAAATCATTATTCGTCTCTTGATTTGTTTTCTTTCATGTTTACATGACTAAGATGGTCACCATGACACATCTGTCTCTACTTTTGTTGATCGAGTGAACATATAGTTAACATGGTGATTAGTACCAATAAAAACAACACAAGAAAAGCCATAAATTGATCTTATACCTTAGTTTCTGATGGGGAACCGTTAGAGGTGACATTCGAAGGAACCTGATGGATGTAATGAAAAAAAAACCATCAAAAAGTACAACCTTCTGGGAAGTTATTCTAGAGCTAGCAAGTGAAGCAAGTACCCTCCAGCTCCAGTATATTTCATAAGCTTAAACTCTTTCTGTAAGGTTCTATATATAATCAGATTGCTACTTAACAGAAAAAATGGAGAACCAAAAACATCCAAACTTATGTATGCATTTGGATGTCTTAAGTTAACTGTATAATTAAAGTCAAGAATTACTGACATCTGTGCGACTCATCGGTCTTTTTGTACGGACTTCATTTACTGCGTCAGAGATGCTACTCGAGGCTAAACCTGGATAGTGATCAAAAGATGCCACCTCTGAGCTCAAATATCTGAAACTTAAGAGAGATACCAATGTAACTTACTTTTCTCTAATGAAGATTGTGGAATAGTTGTGTCATCTATACTACTCCAACTGCCCTGAACATAAAAAAAATAGACAGCAATATTGGTGTTTCTTGAGGAAGAGAAGACAGAAAAGCAAAACAATCATATTTGCCACGGTTGCATTACCCTTGCAAAGTAATCATCCAATGGGTCATAAAATGTTGGTCCCACCACCTCTGGAGGTTGAAGGACGTTGTGGAAAAAGATATTTACTGAATCAATGTAGAACTGAGGCCGTGGAGAGTTATGGTCTCCCTCAAACTTGACGATATTTTTGTCGCCCTACCATAATCATAAGCCAGATGTTTATAGCAAATCACATCGAAGCTAGCATAAGAGAACATATAATAGGAACGCTATCAAGAATTGGAAACTTACCACGTAGGCTTCATATATACGATCTGAATGATGAGGGCGGATAAAATCATCATTTAAGGCATGTCCAAATAAAACCGGAACAAAACTAGATTTTGCCACCTGCAGCATGGAAGATAAATTAATAAGTATCAGAGCTTTTATGCAAGTGAATAAAAGGGACTAATAAGTAGAGAACACAACCTTGATGGTGTTCAGATCCATTATATCAAACTTCGCTTTTTTCTGAATAGATCTACGCATAAACTGTATTGCAAATTTCACCTGGATATACAGTGGGAAGAGGTTAAAACCATTAAAAAAGAGAAGCAATGTGGAAACATTGTAGTAGAAAGAAAAAATCCGACAAGGAAACATTATAAAATTACTTACAGTGAACTTTGGTAGGGGGAATTTATATGTATCTACAAGTTCCATCATCAGATCAACCAAATCGGAGAAGGGGCTGTCTAGAACCATTCCTGCAATGGAAGGATCCTCAGCTCCATACATCAAGCTGTAAAGAGAAAGGATGATTCAACACAATGATATCACAGCCAAATGTGATAGGTATAGCTAATCACCGAAGTACCACAGATCCTATTCAGCTCTCAAAAACTCATGAAAGTATCACTATGTAAATGAATCGACGAGGATAACTTTTTATTGATACAGTTTCATAGCATTAACTCAAACTTCATGCAAGACGAGAAAGTGAATATGCTCTTAGTAAACTGACAGTTTAGAGACTGCAACGAACCTAGTAACAGCACCCATCGAACGCCCCCATAATCCAATCAGGGATATATTTCCATCCTGCCGTAAATATTCAACCACAGCCTTCAGATCATCCTTCTGCAAGCACTCACAACAATTATAACTTTTGTAAGAAGAATCATCATTCAATTCTCAGAATAAACAGGGATAAAACACACACATAGAAAATGGTCAAGGACCAAAACACACAATCCTACATGAAAAAAAGTTCCATGATCTCCCCAATTGCGGTTTAAACATGAATATGTCTTCTTAAACATTAAAACCTATTGGTTTACTCCAAAGCAACAATTATGTCTTAAAGTGTAGAAAGCACATACTTCGTTCCATCCCAAGGTAACATGTTCCCCGCCTGAGAGACCAGATCCGGAAAAGTCAAGGGTGAAAACCGTGATGTTTGAAGGAAGCAACACAACTGCTGCTTCACTACCATCCGCTCTACATCCACTGAACGATAAAAGTACCATTAAACAACACTAAATTAAAGAGAATCAAAGGGGGAAAATAAAAAGATGAGATACAAAGTTAAAAACAGAATCATATTACTGACAGTGTACCTGTTACCATGGCAATAAATAACACAGGGCAAAGGCTTTCCTTCAGGGAGTTCAACAGGCATGTAATGACTACACTGGAGAACATCTCCTCTACTGTTTTTAACCTGCCATACACGCATCCGAATTAGAAATTCAGTTTTCTTCTTTGACTTCCATGTGCTTATTATTACCATGATAGGTTCAAAAACTATATATACTAGACACATCTCACTATCAATAAATAGATTTAACTTTGTAAGAAGAAACAACTATGGGGACCTACCTCCATAGTTGCAAATCCAATTTATTACTAGAAAAGTTATATAAGAGCTAAGAAACAAATGAGAAAAGCATTGTTATAATTACCTCTAAATCCTTCCTCTGATACCATCTACCTTTCATCATAAAGTCTTTTTCCAAGAGATCATGTTCAGGGTCGTACTCAGCTCTGCATCACACACACAGAACTCAAAAATAAACAAAAGAATGACAATCTTGTGATATATGAATGTTCCCAAGAAAGATTCAGAAATTAGGACCCAACAGAATCTGAATAGTAATTCTTTAGAGAGAGATCACGTGTGTGACAAAAGAACAAAAATAAAGGAATTAGAATTTGATTCTTCTGATGAGGAAGAAGGTCAACTTTTGTCAGGAAACCTATTTCCTAAAACGAAATCGAATCTCAAAATTGAAATCAAGAGAGATCGAAAGGTGAAAACTTTCAAGAAATTAATCTAAGGAGGGTCACCTTGGAGGTCGAATGATGAAGTTGACAAACTGCTCCATTACCAGAATTGATCACTCTTTTCTCATATATTCCTTCTCTCTATTGGCAATTCGAAGAAACCCAGAAACGAGACAATTCAAATTAAATAGTTTCGCCAGAAAGAAAGAAACCCTATTTGAAAGAGAAGACGAAGATCCGCGTAGTTTTTGTAAGAAAAAGGATTTTGTTCTTGTTATTGTTGTTGTTGAGGTTGTTAGCTCGTTCTTTTTTTCCAATTTCTGTTAATATAATAATATAAAATATTTAAATTCTTTCGAATTCATTTCTAATATCCCCGGTGAAAGGGAATTAAACTTTATCATTTAATATTATTCCATACAGGGATTTGTTATTAATTTTCTTACCGTAAATTTACTTTGGTCAAATGAGACAACAATATCTTCTGTTTAACTACTGTTGTATACATACTGATATAATATGGGGAGTTATTAAAATATTTGATCCAACAATCAGAGGTTTAAACATCATTTAAAAGAAAAAAAAACGTATTTAATCACGGTCATGACGCTAAATACCAACGTAATTACTTAGGATCTTTTGTTTAATTGTTTTGCTAATCATCGTTGCAGATTTTATGTGATTTCGTATCACGCAGTTCAAAATCTTTATTTCAAAACGAAAGTTGACACCGCGTAATGTTAATCATTTCAACTTTGAATACCACATAATGTTAATCCGCATCTCCACACAAAACGAGGTATTTTATAAAAATATTTATTAATAACTTAATATATATATATATATATATATATATAATTTTTATAAAATAACAATACTATAAAATATATTTTAATTAAAATGGTAAATATTTAATTTTATCAATTTAAGTACTATACATATTTCAAAAGTTGAAATTAAAATATTTTTTTATCGAACTTGAAATTAAAATACTTTATACTTATATAAGGTATATATTTTAACTTAACTGATATTAAATATAATATATGTTTAGATGAACCTAATAATGAATAACATGTATTTTCTATTTATTTTAGTTGTCGTTTTACATTTTTACACCAAAATTAAAAAAAATTGTATATTTTCAAAATAAAAAACATATTTATTTATATACCTAACTACATTTTAACCAATGAAAAAATAAAATAACATATAAAATCAAGAAATTTAACATTGAAACTATAAAAAAACACTTATTTTGAAACGAAAATTTTACTCTAAAATGACATCTAATTTGAAACGGAAAGAGCATGTATTGTTGTAATTATCTAACAGTTTAAATATATTTTATAAAGAATTAAAAATCATTCTATTGATACACACGTCATAGATCATATATTGCAATATCTTCTATATTAAAAGAGAAGTACCATTTATATCTACTACAAAAAGTCATATTGGACTATTTCATTAATATAACATATTTGATTATTTATATTAATCAACCAAATATATATTACTGAAGAAATATTTTAATAATATATAACTATAAAGTTATCTTTAATTTCATTTATAACAAAATCTGTTGAGAAAATATCTAAC